TCAGTCAAATCTGACTCCTGCAGCTCTTGTTGGATGCAGGGTTGCCAAGTCCGCGTTTTTTCCACAGAATTGGGCTACTTTTAAACTGTTGCCATGGGTTGATTTTCCCAAGTGGGTTAAAGGTTTGAAATATTGCATAAATTACATTTGACTGAAATGCTTGTATTAAAACATTTTGCATTCTACCTATGATAAAACTTTCATGGACTTCTACATTAACTGTTCCCTCCTGGTGGAATGACATCATCTTCATTTGACCCTCTAACTCTAGCACTCTCTATTCTATTTCTATTCTAATGGCCAATCCATCATTTTTGGGGGGATTTTTTTTTAATTTTTTAATTTTTTAATAAGTATCAGTTCAGGCACCGTTTAGGCACCAGAACCGTTTTAAAAGTATCGATTTGGCACCGGTATCGAAAAAAAACCAAACAATACCCAACCCTACCTATCTCTCAAATGGACCATTGACACTCTATCTACAATCTCAATTAGGAGTGTCAATGGTCCATTTGAGAGATAGGTGGCGGAACTCTTTAGACAGATTCAAACCTATTACTGATGACTGATTCATTAACAGAGCCAATTCATAAGTGTCAGTCGTTTGTGAATTGGACTGCACTAGCTGTTTTGGATGTTTAGTGTTTAGTGTTGTCGTGTCAGCATCTGTGAAAGAACTCAGATGCTCAAAAACCACTAACTTGACATGCATGAAAATCATTTGCTTCCTGTTATTAAAAAGACTCTGTAACACTTTACAATAAGGTTCCATTAGTTAATGATAGTTAATGCATTAACTATCATGAACAAACAATGAATAATACATTTATTACAGTATTTATTAATCTTTATTAATGTTAGTTAATGAAAATACAGTTGTTCACTGTTAGTTCTAGTTAATTCACAGTGCATTAACTAATGTTAACAAGCACAACTTTTGATTTTAGTAATGCATTAGTAAATGTTGAAATTATTAAATGCTGTAGATGTATTGTTCATTCTTAGTTCATGTTAACTAAAGTAGTTATATAATGAGAACGCTCTGGTTTTATTGCATCGTTCGCTCTCAGTGAGATGGAGAGACAGAGACTGAGAGAGCATGTTCTGTTAGCACCTTTAGTCTGCTGGTCTTCAGCAGGGTAACAAAATGTTCATTAAACAGCCACATTATGTCATTATAATGTGGTCATGTAATGGATATGATGAGTAATGAGAATAAACTAGTTGTTGAAAAGTGGAAATTTAACTCTTTTAACTGTTTAACTGTTTAATTTAACTGTTTATACCAATGCATCATTTCACTACATGCTCTGTATTTAAAGAATCAATGTGTCATTGTGATGAAGTGTAAAAATATTGATTTGTTGAATTATTTTGAGAGCTGTTACTGTCCGCTGGGGATGTGCTGTGACTAATGAATGTGTTTAAAATATCCATTAAAATAAAATTCAGTCTGTTTTGTGTTTCAGGTTCATTTTCCAGATGTGGAGAGAGTGGAGTGGCTTAACAAGGTGTGTGTGTGTGTGTGTGTGTGTGTGTGTGTGTGGTGGTGTGGTTTTATAAAAATAGATCTGAATCTATGCTAACCCAGAAATGTCTTCGCAAGAGTATTGACTCTCTCTCTTTCTCTTTTTTTAACAGACTGTACATCAGATGTGGCCATATATTTGTCAGTTTGTAGATAAAATCTTCAGAGAGACCATTGAACCGGCAGTGCAGGGAGCCAATGCGCACCTTAGTACTTTTTTTCCTGTTTAAAACTTGACTATACTCTCATTCCGGTGTAATAATCAAGGAACTTTGCTGCCATACTATGGGTGCAGCCATATTGGCCTAGAGTGCTACCGCCAGACCCGGAGATCGGCTGAATGGATTCGAAAACGGTAAAACTCAACTGCTTAACTCTAGGGGAGTTGGAAAATGAGCCTATTTTCAAAAATAGTGGAGTGTTCCTTTAAATTGTATTATATAAAGCTATTTATAATTGCAACATATCAATCTAAACCCTAAATCAACCCCTAAAAGGAAATCTTTGGCATTTAAAAATGTTACTAAAAACATTATATTCTAGAACCTTTTTACCTTTGAGGACAACCACAAAGGAAGGTTTAGTCATATTTAGCTCAAGACATTTGTTCTCAAATTTAAACTTAGTAAACCAGCACACACATTTACATACTCTTATACACACAATATAATAATTTTTCATCTGCCTGCAGCCTCTCAGGGTGGATGGAGTGAAAGTTTATACAGAGAATGTAGATAAACGACAGATTATTATGGATCTACAGATCAGGTAAAATACACACAGATAACGTTTACCACTGAGACTCATTACTGGACTTGAGATATTGAAAGTCTGTTTGTGTGTTATTGTATTTGTCTAGTTTTGTCGGAAACACTGAAATTGATGTGGATATTAAGAAATACTATTGCCGTGCAGGAATCAAGAGCATACAGGTAAGACTCAGAGAGTGTGTGACAGATGTCTGTTTGTGTGTTGCTTACATAAGTTGCTTACATTTAAGTATGCCCTCATTACCCTGATAACAATCAGAGTGACCACACATGAGCTTTGATATGAGTTTGAACTGTATAACAGAGCTTCTTTGCTTTGTTAGTTTATAGATGGGCATTAGATGTAATGTTAGTCCGTTCTCATATCTGCAAGCAGAAGTTTTTTAATTATTTATATGAGCTTTTTGGCTTTAACTGAAGAGGATAGTGGAGATGTTACAGGAAACATTATGAGAGGTAGTGGTATCGGGAAATAACCCGAGCAGGATTTAAACTCGGGTCACCTGCACGTATTATGTATGTGCATTATATGCAAGTCAGAATTATTTGACTAATAGTTACTGCATATGCTACGACACATTGAGCTATAGTGCTCATGCAAGCAAGTTTGAATCCAGAATTTCTCACTGTTATATATTATAATCTTACCTTTTATTTGTTTGTTGTTTGTATTTGTAGCTTAATGGTGTGTTGAGGGTCATCATGGAGCCATTGCTAGGAGATATGCCACTGATTGGTGCACTGTCTGTGTTCTTCCTCAACAAACCTGTACGTTAACCACCACATATACACACACTATTGTGTCACATGTAGAAGAACATTCTTTCATTGTGTTTGTGTCTGATTAGTTTTTTTTTGCTACATAACTGGCATTACTTAAATTAGACAATCATACAATATAAAGAATGATGAGAATGTGTCTGTTATTTATTAATAACCCACACCCTTGTAACTTCACTAAGAGTTTTTCTCAGAATCGGAACACTGCTCTGAAAAAAATAAGATCTAAATCTATTCCTCTTAAACTTGTCTCATTCATTCATCTCATTCTCAGCTGTTCATGTTTATTGGATCTAGTGGATGTCTTGATCCAAAATATTGATCTAAAGAACTTTCTATTCATCAAAGACTCTGTATTACGAGAAAAATGTATTACGGTTTCCACAAAAATATTAAGCAGCGCAACTGTTTTCAACATACTGTAATAAGATAATAAGAAGAAATATTTCTTGAGCAGCAAGTCAGCATATTAGAATGATTTCTGAAGGATCCTGTGACACTAAAGACTGAAGTAATGATGCTGAAAATTCAGCTTTGCCATCACAGGAATAAATTACATTTTTAAATATGTTAAAATAGAAAACTGTAGTTTTGAACTGAACATTTTGAAAAAAAAATAAAATTCTTAACGACTCCAAACTTATTAACAGTAAATATCTAATATATTTGATTATACTTATAACCAATGACTACAAATCAATATTTCTGGTTAATCTGTCATTTCGTTATTAGATTACATCATTTGCAGTGCTTACGGCATTCTATAGCCTTCATAAAATATGAACAGTCTTGTTCCTTTGTTTTTTCTTCTATTTTCAAATACCTTTTTTTAAAAAAAAAAACAACAAAGTTTGTGATTCATCTCAGAGATTATTAGTTTGGTTCATGGCTTGAAACAATTTACTGAACTTTTTTTTTTTTAATTCATATGGAGAGAAAAATATTTCCAGAACCAAGGCCAATGAAAACATAGGCAGTTACTGTTGCACTGTATTTGATTAATGGCTTTGTTGCTGCTGTGAAAAATAAAGGATGTATTTTACAGGAAACAAACACAAGCATTTGAATTTTGCATATATATATATATATATATATTCAACCTTTATGTATTAAATATTGTTATATGTGTCTGTTTCTCTCTCTCAGTTGCTGGATATAAACTGGACAGGTCTTACAAATATGCTGGACATCCCTGGAATAAAGTGAGTGATACACGTGTCAGCCATCACACATCATGTAATCAGATTATGCCAGTTTCATAAAACTGGAGTGGATAAGGCAGCCTTTGAAATGCACATGCTGTCACATGACCTATTTTGTATTTTGAGGTGGCACAGATAACAGTCTCTCACACAAACATTATACACGCTCACTCCAGTTTCAGAAATGCTGCTCTTCCTGTCAGACCACATCAGACGATCCACGTTTACACCCACTTGTGATGGTGGGGAAATTATGGGGTCTTAATAGTGTGTTTTATCTTAAAGTGCGCCCTGTGATCCCCTGACATCAGTGTGTGTGTCCAAATGTAGAGTTTAATGTGTTTCCCAGAGGAGTCTCTCTCTCTCTCTTTCTCTCTCTTTTTCTCCTTTTATAGTCATATCATAGGTGGAGCTGGTGTTGTGGTTTAGGCGTGGGGAGATCTTGTCCTTTGTTATATTTTCTCTCTCACACACACACATATACACATACCCTCACAGAAGAGTCACATTTCATGAACATTTCTGGTTAGACATCAGTGCTGAAATCAATCTGAATTCTTTGATCTCTGAAAAATAAATAAATTAATCCTGATGTGTTACATATTCAAGCTGAAATGCAAGCTAATTGGTAAATAATGCTATAGATACAGTCATTAACATAGTGTGGGTGAAGGCACTATAAACAACTATAAATTGCAGTACTTAAATGAAAACTGTGCTAATAGAGAACTGCTGGGGGAGGATAAAGGAAACATTATAGAGCTTTAATTCTTCCCCTTATCCCAGTGGTTCTCTTCATTTTTTTAATTTGAAAGCTCCACATAGTTAAATACAATATTCAAAAGCCTCCCAATATATGTTTTCTCTGATATTCCGGGTGCAATTAAGACAAAGCTACTTGGTTTCCAGCTTTTTGTTCACAGAAACTGGGAGTGTTCATGAATTAATTAACCACAATTCATTTTGTGGTTTCAGAAATTTCAGGAACTGTGGGCAAAAAAGGGGAAGTTTTCCAAAAAAATTATTAGTTTATAGTTAATGTTGATTGTATATTTTTAGCTTTTCAGCTGAATTAAAACATTTCAATATATCAATTATAATATTAATATGAACTTTTATTACTTTTTGAAGTTTGCTGAGGCCCTCTAGTGGGCCCTGGCCACCTTGAGAACTTTCCCAAATGTTTAATTTCACATGGTTTAAGCAAAAAAAGGGCCTGAAGATGTATGTTTAGTCAAAGCAAAAAGGCATTGAAAAGTGTGGGCATGGGTATTCAACCTTTTTTGTACACAGTTATTATGTAGCAGAATATTCAAGTTGCTTTTTTCTTCACAGTGGAAAGGCAAGCAGATTACAACTGCAGCTGTCAAGCTCAATTTACCTAAAAAGTATAATAAAAGTGGTCTATACAGCTTGTGAACATTACATTACAGTACTTATGGGTATTTAATGCATTGGACTGATTTGTTATAATATTTAACATCATCACTAATCTCTCTTGCTCTCTGTCTTTCACAGTGGTCTGTGTGACAGCACTATTCAGGATATCATATACAGTTTTCTCGTGCTGCCAAACAAAATCACTATTCCACTTGTAAATGATGCACAGATTTCCAGACTCCGCTTCCCCATGCCAAAGGTGACATACTTGTACACTACACATGCATACCTGTATATAAACAGAATATTTATATCATATGCGTGGTTTTGTTTTAGGGTATTCTGCGGATTCACTTTCTGGAGGCACAGGACCTGGTAGGGAAGGACAAGTTTCTGGGTGGTCTGATAAAAGGAAAGTCAGACCCATATGGTGTCATTAAGCTGGGTAATCAGCTCTTCAGATCCAAAATCATCAAAGAGACAGTTAATCCTAAATGGAACGAAGTTTATGAGGTAAGGGACTAATTTGTGATCGAATCTGTCCTTCTCTGACATGTTTTTATTTACCAATCCAAGGTGTTTATGTGTGTTTTAGGCATATGTGTACGATCACCCAGGACAGAATGTGGAGATAGAGCTTTATGATGAGGACCATGATAAGGATGATTATTTGGGAAGGTAATGGCTGGGATTGATCTAATCAATCATTAAATAATTACAAGCAATAATACTTCAGAATTCCACCTTAAAGATCGTCAGGATCTTTTTATTTTAATCATTTGATTTTTGTCCTCCTGTATTCTTTAGCCTTACCATCAACATAGATGAACTAGAGAAGGAACAGAAAGTAGATGAGGTACAAAAAATACCTTTTTGTTTTATTTCTGTCCAGCTTTATTTTTGTATGAGCTCAAAGCAGAAAAATTGCTTAAATTATTAGTTCACTCAAAAATGGACTTCATCATTTACTCAGCCTTGTGATGTTACAAACCTTTATGACTTAATTTCTTCTGTGGAGCATGAATAGTAGATTTTTAAAGAATGTCCTGTCTGAGTAAATGACAGCAGAATGTTCATGTTTGAGTGAACTATACCTTTAATAAAGTGTTATTATTATATAAAGTACAAAGTTTTAAAATGAAATTTATGTTTTCATATAATAAATCCACTCCCTGTTTCACCTGTGTGCATGTGCGTGTGTGTGTGTGTGTGTTTCTTTGGGTGAGTGTAGTGGTTTGTACTTGATGATGTTGCTACAGGAAAGCTTCACCTGAAGATTGAATGGCTTTCTCTTCTCCCTACACCTGATAAACTCGATGAGGTAACATAACACACCTCTTACACACATCAAAGTGATATGATATGACTTCTGTTAATGATTTAGACTTTACTGATATATATCAAATAACAAATGTACACTACCCTTTAAAAGTTTAGGGTCAGTCTATTGTGCTCACTAAGGCTGCATTTATTTGATCAAAAATACAGTAAAACCAATAATACAGTAAAAACAGAAATATTGTGAAATAAAATGTAATTTATTAATGTGAAGGCAAAGTTGAATTTTCAGCATCATTACTCCAGTCTTCAGTGTCACATGATCCTTCAGAAATCATTCTAATAGGCTGATTTGGTGCTCAGTAAACATTTATTGATATCATCAATGTTGAAAACAGCAGTTGTGCTGCTTTTGTGGAAAATGATTTTTTCAGGATTCTTAGATGAATAGAACATTTAAATAAACTGTATTTCTTTGAAATAGAAATATTTTGTTATATTATAAATGTATTTAACTCTCACTGTTGATCAATTTAATGCATCCTTGCTGAATAAAAATAGTAATTTCTTACAAAAAAAAAATACAAAAAAAATACAAAAATCTTTCTGACCCCAAACTTAGTATGTATAGAAGAACTATAACAAAAATACGAACTGCACATTCCTACTTTTAAACTCTGAAATTTCCCATTTCCATAAACTAATGCAAAATAATTTTGTGATAACTATTGCATGTATTAAAAAATAAAATAAGACATCATTTAGTCCCTTTAAAGAGACAAATCCCCACAATGTAGATCACACACCACAGAGCCGGCACTGCTTAATTTTTTATGTGTTGCTTTTCAGGTTTTAAGCAGCATTAAAGCAGATAAAGGGCAGGCCAATGATGGACTGTCATCAGCATTACTGTTGGTGCATCTGGACTCAGCCAAAAATCTGCCAGTGAGCATTAACACACATACACACACACACACACACACACACACACACACACATACTCACCCACACTAGCTTCTTTCTTTCTTCCTCATTTTTCTATGCTCCACCTTCCCTATTTCATCAGGTATCACTTCTACTACTACACTTGCCTTGCCCTTTTCTCCTTTCATCCTCTGTTTCTTTCTGTTGTCCCGCTCTGGTTTCCTGTCGCTCTGGGTGAAGAGTGTTTTTGAGGGGCACGTGGGCAGTGGGTGTCTGAGAGAGCGCCGCTCTGCCGGGCTGGTGTTCTGTGAGGACACTTCTGCCCTCTACAGGACAATGTTTGTGAGTCACTCTGCTGGCATTTCCATTAGATTGGTTTGATTGCATTTTACCTGCATTTGGTGCATTAACAGCTGGTCATTTCATTTACAAATGTTTCATAGTTACATCTCAACTTCCCTTTTGCATGTAAAATCTTCCTGTAATGCTGTTTAAACTCAGAGGACTGTTTTGTTTGTGTTTGGTTATGTCGTGGTTTGGTCTGTCAGCATGCTAGTGTTTACAGAGGCCCTGTCTGCATTTTGCATAGATATAATTAGTCTGTATTAGAGGTGTTAATGCAGCCATTTTTGTGTGTGCAGTTGTTTTTTCACTGTAAATGTGCACTCTTTCCTTTAAAGAGGGCATTTGAATATAGAGCATCAGAGGTTACACCGCAACAGAACGCAGTTGTCAGCCCTGTTTGGAGAGCTAAATGAGGTTATGTGGTTATGGGTATATTGCTGATCAAGTTTTTTTTATCATTTAATGATTTGCTGATTATTTGTGTGTAAGAGAAAGATTGTGATACACTACTCTTCAAACGTTTGTGGTCCGTATGTTTTTATTTATTGGATATAGGATTGAATATAGCAAAGATTAATTAAATTCATCAGAAGTTACATGAAAGACTTTTATAATGTTACAAAAGATTTCTATTTCAAATAAATGCAGTTCAGCATTAATTTCTTGTTACTTTCGAACTGTTCATCATCAGATCAGTCTTCAAAAAATGTGTGACCGTTTCCACAAAAACATTAAGTAGCACAACTGTTTGAATATTAATATGCACCAAATCAGCATATTACAATGATTTCTAAAGGATCATGTGACACTGAAGACTTGAGTAATGGCTGTTGAAAATTCACAATATTGCTGTTTTTACTGTAACTTTGAACAAATAAATGCAGCCTTGCTGAGCATAAGAGACTTCTTTCAAAAACATTTTTAAAAAAATCTTACAGACTCTGAAATTTTGAACAGTAGTGTGTGTTGGAGGGGGTGTGACATAGAGATGTAAGTAGTGCAGTAGAGTAGAGTGTCAATTTTAGAAGCATGTTGAATGAAACGGGTCTCACTCTGCACTTCACTGTATGAAATACATGATTAAGCAATGTCACACAAGCAACATTTTATACATTATTTATACATACAGATTAAACTTACTATTTTAGACATAATATTGGACAGCTAGTTTGTCTATTTTTGCTTTCCATACAAAAAGAGAATCAACTGTCGTGTGTCTGAACAGCAAACAAGTGCTGGGGATGCTGATCCAAAGCGTGAAAACTCCAGTGCTATTTTATAAAATATCAGCACATTTGGAACGACTGTATCTGTAACTGTTGTATAACTGTTGCTGTATCAGCCCATGCCTCATTTGATCATTTTCATCAGTCACTGAAAGCGTTTGAGTGAATTCAGGCGTCTTGTAGTGTCCTGCAGTGCCCATGACATTGTGTGACATATTTCTGCAATCAGATTTGTTGCGGGTTGATTTGCAGTGAAGTGTAGGTTGGACTGATTTTCTTTGGATTGCCTTGTCTATATTTCTCTTTCATGTTTCTTTCTTCATCACTGTCCTCCTGAATTGTGTCCTCTCATGTGCCCACTTTCCAGGCATGACTAATCAAACGCAAATTAATAAAAATACGCTGATGTGTTCTGCCAGGGCTCTTTCATCATTTGAACAATCATACGGATAAAATACAACGAGGCATCATCTTTTCTCATTTTCATCAAATTAACCATGCATTAATTCCGTAATCATTCATTTTGTTGTGTATGATTGAGTGAGTACTCCAGGATGTCTGTGTTTTTGTGCAATTATGAATTTAACTCTGCATGCCATCCTCCTAATAATCCTGCCTGTATTTGTATTTGTTTGTGTGTGTGCGCATGTGTGTCTCGTCCTTTTCTGCTTTTGGAAATAAGCGCAATCCTTTAGAATTCAACAATGCAGGTCTGAAGAAGGGTACAGTCAATAAAGCGATAAAGGTAACACAACCAGTTTTCTCACAATTTACGCACACACATAATGATGTAGAAAGACGTGGCAAGTTGTTTATGTCGATTTAAGATCCTTCTGCAGCAGGTATCGTGTGTACTGTTTGTGTGCTTTGATTAACCGCATGCAGACCTGCGTGTGCATCTGACTGTCTGAAACGCACTGAATTCAGACTCTGAATGCCACAGAGACTATTTCTCTTATGTAAATCTCAGTCAGCTTTTCAATCCCATTTTCCCAATTCTGAATTGATTGCTTTTAATTCAAGCAATATATGAATCAAGATTATACACAAAATCCTACATAAATGCAACATATAAGACCTTGCTTGAATCTAACAAGTTTTTAGGTTTTATGTCCTGATAGTAATATAGTGCATGGCATTCATAAGGGGAAATGACTACTGTCATTTTAATTTAATGGAATAAATACAATATTTTGGAATATTTTCAACTTTCTATCTAATGGAATATTTCCAACTTTAAAGTTTACCACATCTGGGCTAATGGCATGCTGTCTATTATCAGGGTCAATCATTTGGACCAGTTTTAACAGTAATAATTTATAAATAAAAAGTATTGCTCAGTACAAAATCGTGTTAATTGCTTTTAAATTGCTCCTTTGTTTAAATGTGAAAATGCATTTACCTGACCAGCCTAATATATTGTGATTTGAACTAAAGAAGCAGAATTTACAGTAGCATTTAATTTGATTACAGTGCTAATTCGAAAATATTTTTAAAAATTATCTTGAATATCGGTTTTGTAGATTTTGGACTTTTCCCATTCAAGTAAATAGGACATATGTTTGTATGTGTACAAGCTACATAGAAAACAACTCCCTGTGGACTTTGAACAAAAAAATGTTGCTAAACAATCTTATGCAAACATATGAATGTTATGGTTATTCTTATGATTTGGTAATCACATAGATTAAACATTTATTTAAAGTGTTGCCTGCTCAGCTTTCCATGTACTGTAACTGTCTGTGGTAATGGACAGCATGCCAGGTGTCATTGCAGATTTAGATGGGAGTAAATATCATATGGTTACTAAGAAACATTTCAAGCCATTAGTGTGCAAATATGTACTGTAGATTCTTACGTGTTTGAGATGACGCTATTATTGTTTGATTTAAATCCTTTTGTTCTTTGCTTTATTAAGAGTGTGGTTAAGTTTGATAATGTTATTTGTGCATATTTTTATTTGTATGTTTTAATATGGAAGTGTTGTTATTAACTATTTGTATGCTTTATAGTCTGGTAAAAAGGTCACCAGTGTGCCCAGTCCATTCGTCCAGTTTACTGTGGGACACAAATCCTTTGAGAGCAAGGTAAACACACTGATGCACACAAGTAATCTGTCTTTAAATGTATATGTGCATAACATATTGTGGTATTCTTACAGGTGCAAATTTAAATCTGAAAAATAGTGTGAGGCTCTTCGAAGTGGCTTTGCATGAAAAGAGATGAATGCATGTAAATTCATTACACTTATTAGTTGATGTTTCGTTGTCTTTGTATAACAGTATTTCACTGCAAAAGGTGATGTTGCAAGTTTGCTTAAGTCAGACTTTACTGTGAATTTTTAAGATGGTACAGTAAATTAATTCCAATTCAGATCCTGTGTTTTCACTGTTGCTAAATGTATAATGGTTAAATGTTTTACATTCTTTTCTCATTACAGACAAGATATAAAACCAACGAGCCGCTTTGGGAGGAGGCCTTCACATTCCTGATCCACAATCCAAAGTGTCAAGAACTTGAAGTGGAGGTAAAGCACAAACATGCACTCGCAGGCACATGGGGTTTTGTGGCTTAATGGTTAAAAATTTGGGCTGGTCCCTGAAAGGCGAAAGATTTGAACACTGCAAGGGTGAGCAAATGCTGTTCTTGATAACGTAAGAAAGTGTAACAATAATTACAACCCCAACTTTGGTATCTATCTTATACTAGCTATACCCTTCTAAGTGATGTATTTATACTGGATTTGTTGCCCTGCTATCCATTTTGCTACTTGTTTGTTTTTTTGCCTGTTCTCTTTTTACATTTATTTTTATGTGTATTTATTTATTTATTTCTGGAAAAATACTAAATCATAGAAATCAAGGTATTAATACTCAGTTGTATTGACTCAATTGTACCCTATTCATGGAAAGTACATATAGTCTGGACGTTGCAGTGTTTACAACACAGTGGTGTCTCATACGAGTCACAGTCTGATGTTTTGTGTGTGTGCAGGTAAAGGATGAGAAGCACGAGTGTTCCCTCGGGACGTTTTCTCTTCCTCTGTCAAAGCTGCTGCAGGAGGATCAGATGACTATCAGTCAGCGATTCCCACTCAGGAACTCAGGACCCGGCTCTACGCTTAAGATGAAGATGGCACTTAGGGTAACACACACACACATTTTTGTTAACTGAAATTAAATAACTCATGGAAAGTAAAGGAAATCTAATAGAAATAAAACTAAAAACAGTGGTTGAAGCAGTAACTGAAATTAAATAAAAATAAACGGTAACTCTTTAGTTAATTGACCAGTTCTTACTATTAACTAGTTGCTTATAACCATGCATATTACTTGCATATTTATTAGTACATATAAAGCACATATTAATGCCTGAATCTGCATGACCATATTTTAGATCCCTTAATCCTACCCCATACCTAAATTTAACAACTACCTTACTAACTATTATTAAGCAGCAAATTTAGAGTTTATTGAGGCAAAAGTCATAGTTAATAGTGAGAATTGGACCCCAAACTAAAGTGTGTCTTTCATCAAGCTAAATATCTAAATTACTCTTTGTATTGATGGATGGAGTAAAAACCTTTTCACAATTTAAGTAAAAATTAAAAGTACAGTATTTGAAATATTACCTAGCGAATTTTGCAGTTCAGTGGTCTTAACCATTGTACATGTAATTAGCTCTATCAATGTTCTGTAGATCACTCAACTATAAAACCTTAAATTAAAATTTAAATTAAGATAAATATAACAAAAAAAGGAATATGCCCACTAAATGAGAGAAAAACTAAACTGGAAGTGGCCACAGCAATAATTAAGCAATTAAAACCATAACCAAAAAGACATTTCTTAATTTTATGCTTTTAAAAATCTTAATGGCCTCAGTGAGCAGGTTAAACACGACTGGCAAAGAAACAACTGAACCTTGCCCTATATAGAGGGTCCATCTCAGCAGGAAGTCTCACTTTTGCTGTAAATACACATAAAAAGTCAGTAACCAACGCATATCTGTCTATATGTGTATTTTAGATTCTCTCTATGGATAAGTTGGCAGTATCAGATCAGCCGTCCTCAGTTCAGATCCGCCGCCCCAGCGAGACCCCCAACCCCTCTCCTCAGCGGCCCAATGTTTCAGAGCCCATCCCAGCATCCAAAACCCAGCAGCCGACCCCAGCACCCAGAACCCAACCCTCCCCGCGGGTGGAGCCCCTAATAGACAGCAGGCCGTTAGAGGACTCACCTACCCGTCTGGCTAAATCGGGGCGGAGCACGTCTAACCTGGCCATCTCTGGCTCTGAGCTACACCTAAACAGCAAAGAGCCGACACCCAGCATAGCATCTGACATCTCTAACCCCAGCACCACCCAGGAGCTCCAGAAGACAATACACCGATTACAGAAGTATGTTTGAACATTTTTTACATATTTTGACCTTTCTATCTGGTGCCATTCATGGTTTGTTGAGATTCCAACACCGCAACAGTTAAAAAAAAAAATGTTTTCTTCTTTTTTTTGTTTTTTGTTTTGTTTTGTTTTTACAGTGGAGCCTCACCTGGTTTCGCTCCATTGGGTGAAATTCAGTTAACCATCAGACACAGTCCCCAAAGAAACAAACTAATTATCGTGGTACACGGCTGCAGGTAAAATACATATGACTTTTGATTCTTCTGAAGTATTTCAGTGCTTCTGAAAGATGTTTTTAATATGAAAGTCTTCATATTTTTGTGTTTGCAGGAATCTGATCTCTTCTACTGAAAGTGGTTCTGATCCATATGTCCGTTTGTATTTGCTGCCTGATAAACGACGCTCTGGACGCAGAAAAACAAACACGATGAAGAAAACGGTGAATCCGGTCTATGATCAAACGTCAGTTTCTTTTTCCTCTTCCAGTCTCTTTAAGTCTTCTCATTTTGCATTGAATAAAAATACTTGTATTTGTGTTTTTAAATGAAGTGTTTGCGGGTTGCATGCACATGTGTTTGTGTAGGGTTGAATTCAGCGTGTCACTTGTGGAGTTGCACAGAAGAACACTAGATGTGGCTGTGAAGAATGGAGGAGGAATTCTGTCAAAACACAGAGGGCTGCTGGGAAAGGTGACATCCCTCACATCATAAATAACATTAGAAATAACAGTCCTCACACCATTTATAAGATAAATAACTTCTTAGACCCTGTTCATAAGATAAATAACATTCAGTTCGCCATAACATCCTTAATATCGTTGTTCTAAATCTAAATTATTATATATAAATCTAAAATATTATTTTCTAGTTTTTTGGGGGGGCTCATGAACAAATTATTCACATAAAAATGATGCGTGTCTTTCTCCCAGGTGTTAGTTGACTTGACCTCTGAGGATATATCAAAGAGCTCAACGCAATGGTAAAAAATTTATATAATTTACAAAGATTAAGCCTTTAATATGAATATGATGATATTGATTATACTGAATATTCCCATTACTGTAATATATGGATAAAATGTACTTTAGAGTGGTTATTTACATTTTAACCTGGTATACAGTGTGCCCTATTTAAATATCTCTCTCAAAATTTTGGAGAAGAAAAACATGATTATAATAATAATTTTATTCTAGATTTGTTGTTTTAAAGTAAAAAAAAAAACATTGAATTTTTAAAATGTTCTTTCTGATTTAATAAATCATGCTCCAAAAGGTTAAATACTACTATGTTTGTTATGAGAGTTATAAGCCACATTTTCTTTATGCAAAGTATATGCATAAATTTAGTCAAATATGACCCAGACATTTCTTGCCTGTTATTTATGAAAATGGCACTTTATTTCATTAATATTTAGCCAAAGGTGTGTGAACATGGAATCAGAAATGTTTATGTGAATATGATTGTGTTTGTGTGTGTTTGGCAGGTATGAGCTTTCAGTGGACGGGCTGAGGCGACAATCCCCTTAATCACAGGAACCAACTTCTTTCTGCCTACACATACTGTATTAAAAAACTACAAATCCCTACGCAAGACTCCAAACCTCAGCCATATTTAAGCCATGTGTTTTAGCCGTGGGCAAAATTGGTACATGTTGGATCTTCAGATTTGATCACTTTTAATAGATTTACAGTGTGAAAGAAGAAAAAACGCTATTGATGTTATGTGCACTGACTTAGCCAGAGTGAATGAGAGAGTGAGAGTGTTTAGAGATTTTTAAAGTTAAAAAGGGATACGGTTCAGCCACATCTGTTGGATTGATTAGTTGTTTACGCATTAAGACTTCTAAACCAAGAGTGGCAAACTGTAACAACATCCGCCATTTACACGTTAATGGTGCAGAGATTATATAATATATATAATTAACCTCAGACTGTAAATATATACAAATAAATCTTAAAAAGGAATTCTAGTATTTGGAAAATATTAACCCTAAGAGTTCTTGTTAAACAAGCACTGAACTCTTTGAAAGTGTTATATTATCATCTCTGTTAATGCCTACAGATGCTCCTTTTAGGAGACAAATTTACCAAAGAAGTACTCTGCTCGCTCATTATAAAGAGTGTGTGATTAAACCAAATATGCACCTAAATGTTTTACACCCAAGTGTTCATATATATATATATATATATATACACACATACGTGTTATGTGTTTTCTGGTGTGGTTCAGCATCCACCACCACAGCACTGGCTGTCAGTGCTTAAACATGCATGGGCAGCTACAGTGTCACATGACCCTGGATATCTAATGCTGCCATATATCTCTGTATCTTGTTTGGCCTTTCTGTAGCACTCGGTCACATATTCACTCCTTCAAAAACACCTGGTCACCTCTCACCCACTGCATCCCAGCTGTGCTTCCTCAGTCATCTGCATCTCAGAGTTATAGAAAATGTCTCGTGTGTTGTCTGATATTAAGTGAAGGCTGTGGTTTCGTCTGCTGCAGTGTCACTGAGCTGAGCTTATGATATGCAGATGGTCAAACCTCAAAACTGTTTTGATTTTATTCCTGTCAGCAAGAATCTGTTTTTATTGTATAAATTATTGTGAATATTATGACAGATTTTATGCTTATTATTATGATTAATACTTATCACAAAAAGCAAACGTATGCAGTCAGAGTAACTCTCTGTGCTGAGCTTGCCTTATAGATGTATATATATATTTCCTGAGCCTTATGACCAACAATATACTTACCTTAGAGGATATTTGGCATCAGATACAGGATCGTAAAGTCTCTGTATTTGATGATGTCCACTGTATTCTTTTCAATAAACAATTTATTCTATACCATTAATAGTTGAATGGAGGGAAGGAATAATTATTTGTGTTGATGTCACATTGTAAACCCAAATGCAGTCAGATATTATGATTCAGTTTTTTGGAACAGATGGCATTTTAATAGTTGATCAGAAATAACACCTTAATATCAAATATCAATTATAATTTTTATTAATATTATGAATTGTTATTTTTATATTTTCTGTTTTCATTTTTAATTTTCCTAACATTTTAGTAATTCTGTGCTTTTGTCATTTTTCTTTACTCCCCCCCCCC